ATAAAGAATAGAAATACTTAGTAGCGGCTTAAAGGCTTTTAGAAGTATTAAAGAAAGGAAGAAGATATTAAAGTTTAGAGAAATCTAAATAGGAATTAGTCTCTTTTTTAAAAATTCAAGAAAGAGTATTCCCAAAGAACCTAAAGATATAAGAGATATTAGAAAAAGAAAAAAGATATTAAAGTTTGGAAAAATCTAAATAAGAATTAGTCTCTTTTTTAGAAGTTCGAAAGAGAGTATTCCCAAAAGGCCTAAAAGTATAAAAAGTATTAGAAAAGAAAAGAAGAAGATATTAGAGAAAGGAAAAAGAAATCTAAAATTTAGCTTTCTAAAAAGCAAACAGGTTAAAAACTTATAATATAGGAGTTCTAGATAAAAGTAACCCGGAAATAATAGTCAGGTACTAGCTTTAGTATTATTAGTAGAAGTATTAAAGGAAGAGAAGTTTAGAGAAAGAAAAAAAAGTTATAAAATAATTAGATACTAGCTCTTAGTATTAATAGTAGAAGTATTAAAGAAGAAGAAGTTTAGAAAAAGGGTTTAGAGAAGGAATTTAGAAAAAGAAAAAAAGGTTATAAAATAGTTAGATACTAGCTTTTAATATTAATAAAGAAAGTATTAGTAAAGAATAGAAGCTTTTAATATTAATAGTAAAATCAAAAAAATATAGAAAAAGAATAAAAGTTTTAGAGTAAAAATAAAATAAAGTTATAGTTTTATAGAAAATAAAATTACTAATATAAAGTAATTATATTATTATATAATTCCATATTTACTTTTATTATTTATTAAGGATATATATCTTAGAAAAAAGTATTATTTAGAATTCTTAAGCCTTTCTAGTTTAATAACTATATATTCGAAAAATAAGAAATAAATATAATTATATATACTAAAATAAAGGAATTCTTCTTATCTAAAAATTATAATTATAATATTACTAAATATAGAAATATAGAAATTCGTATAATAAACTATATATAGAGATTTAAGGAAATTTAAATTACCTCGAATTATTTATAATTAGTAAAGTAAATTAGTTAATTATATAAGTTAAATATAGTTTAATTATTATTAATATATCTTAGCTTTTATAAGTTAGTAAAAAAAAGAATATTTATATCTTTATTTTTATAACTATAATACCTAAAATTATAATTTTTTTAATATTTAAATATATTTAATCTAGGGCTATTAAATACTAATATTTCTATTTTCAGGTATTATTTATTATAAATTTATTCGGGTTTAAATAATTATATTAAATATATATCTTTATATCCTAAAAATAAATAATAAAGATATAATTATACTAGCTTTAACCTTAGCCTTAACCTTAATCTTAACTTTTTTCTGAAAATAACTTTAATTCCAATATATAATACTATTATTAAAGCTTTCTTTTATTAAAGATATATTAAATATAGCTTTAGATAATAGCTTTAGTAAAGACAAAAGTAATAGAAAAGATAATAAAGCTATAAATAAGTAAAAAGATAATATTTATAATATATCCTCTAATAATTCAGACTTAGTCTATAATATTCTTTCTTATTAATATATTTAACTAATAAATCCCTCTATTCTTTAATTTCCTTCTTATATATAATCTCTTTCTCTTTCTCTATAATAATACTTTAATTTCCTTATATTATCTAATAATACTACTAAAGTAATAAAGCAAATTAATAATAAGGCTAAAGTTAAAGAGATAAAGCTATACTAGGATAAAGAGCTAAAGGAATTAGAGAAAGGTAAGGCAAATCTAGAAATAAGCTTAATATATATTTATAAAATCGAATTCTCTTAAGCTTATACTACTTATAATAATAAAAAGAGACCAAGGGGCCCTTTTAAATACTATATAGTTATAGAAGGCAAATTTGATAGTAGTTATATAAATTATAAATATAATAATAATAGTAAAGTCTATACTTTCTATTAACTTAATACTAATCCTACCAAGTCTGGAAAGCCTTGCTCTATATCTATAAAACCCTTTATACTAAAGCCTCGACTGCCTATAAGATATAGAAAGCGAGTATAAAGATAGATATAAGGTTAGAAGGTAATAGGGAAGGAGGTTATAGTAAAGGAGGATGAGGATACTAGAGGAGAAGGGGACAAAGGAGATATAGATAATTCGAGTAATATAGGTAGTACGGAGGATATAGAGAGTGAGGGAGATAGAGATGTGCCTCGTAATCCATGGGATTTGCCTTACGGACCACGCAAGCTAAGGGGGGGCTAGGAGTAGTCGAGAATAAGGCGTGTATGCTGTACTTTTTTTTTTAGTGAGGTATGGGGGGGGTACAGTCGGTCCGATCCAAAAGCGACAAAACGGTCGCTCTTTTACGCCCATAATAACTTTTCAGCCACAACCCCAATTAATTAATACTGAGTAATGCGATTATAGAGTAGAACCAGGCGAAAAATACCTATTAATCAGATTTTTGATACGATTTGTGGTTCATTAATAATCGAGGTTTAAAGTGCACGGACCCTTTTTACTTTTTTGATTTTTCACTATACAAAACGCAAATATATTTGCTCGCTAAGGTCACGTGAGCCCGTACTTCAAGGGAAGATCGCAGCATCTCACCAGCCTTATTATTAATATAATATTAATATTTAAGCCCTATAAGCTTAGAAAACCCTTCCTAAATATTAAATATAGCTTTCTTTGGTACTATATATATTATATATATTGTAGAGCCATAATTATATGGGATTCAAGCTAATTTTGGCCAAACTAAATCCATAAACCTTACTTGAGATAAGAAACTTACTAGTCTGTTCTACAAGTCTCTGATCTCGCTTGCAAATAGGCTTCTCCAAAATAATCGTCTTATTACTACTAATAAAAAGCTTCTGCTGAACCCAAAAGAGCATTGAATCTTCAAGCTCTACTTCATTACTTTGTGAAATATCTGAATTATCAGAATTATCCTCTATATTAGAGGGTTTCCCATGCCGTTCGTCGATAGTTGCTTGGATTGCAGCTTCTTCAGCTATGGTGAGAACTGTGATTGAATCAAGAATTGAATTAGCTCGCTTGCGTTTCTGAAGGCTTATAGAGGTAGCTATTAGAAGTATTCAAAAAGGGCACTTGATTGGGTTTGTGGTTATTGAGGTATTAATATAATCGTGGAAGAGCAGTCAACTTAGGGGGGTAGTCACGTGACAACCAAAGTAAAAAACGACCATACAAAACGCAAATATATTTGCTCGCTTAATCACGTGAATTATATCTCCCTTAATAATAAAGATATTATAATTTTGAGAACATAGAATTAATTCCTAGAGTATATAGTATAGTTTTAATTAATACGATTTATATCAATTAGTATTGTGGTGGTTTTTATTTTTTTTTGTCGCTTTTGGATCGGACCGACTGTATACGGGTGCGAAAATCAAAAAATCAGAAAATCACTTTTCGCTTCTCGGTTTTGTCGACTAGCCCGCTAATGGCCTCAGTATTATTACCTGGTAAGCTCCCCGTATTTCACAGTCCAATTCGAAGTCTTCTTTGCACGCTAGCCAGGCCGCGTGGTTGACAAGGATCCCTTCCGGCTAAAGGCTATTCCGGGATTCGAAACATTGTGGAAAGTTAGCTTTCGGCCCGAGCAAGTCTATTAGATGGGTTCCTACCATATGCCCCGCGGGCTGCGACCAGGGTCATAAACTGCGGCTCAAGTAGAGTCCTTCCCTTTTCGAATGCGGGGCTGCTGGGTGCTTGCGAACTAACCCGGCGCATGACTCGCCAGACTTTCCGGCATGCCACCATACGAGTACTATCTCCCCCCAAATAATTACGAGTGGGTCCTTTGGTAACGCCACACTGAAACTTCGTCAGTATCCCCGAATTAGGAAATATCAGGTGCTTTCGAGAGCCGCTATTCGCTATAGACCTTCGATTGCGTGCCTTTAGTGGTGTGAATCGTGGCATGAGAGTGTGGCGAATATTGGACCCACTCGAAATTGTTCATAGGGGGGATAGTAATGGGATGCAGCCGATTGAGCCCAAAGAAGTCCCACAATCCATGTTCGGGGCAGCCCATCTCTTCTGGCCCCTGTTCCGTGCCACGCGCAACCCATGTAAAAAGGAGCTTGCCGTATATCTCTCCAACCTCCATCCTAGGGCTCACCAGGCATACTCCCAGCATATGCTCGAAATGCACATCAGTTGTAACTACTCGAGCGCTTGACTCTCCTCTTTAAAAATACAAAAACAACGATAACGCTAGCATATGCTCGAATTTTACTGGAAGCACGCAAGTACTTAAGTACGCTATCGCCGTCGCCCTCGCTATTATATACAACGTCTCTAGGGAAAATAATGTAGCGAGAGAACCACAGACAAGGTGTAAAAGCCAATTAAAAGTTCGTATTGTTTGCTTTCTGGTCCGTGCCAGTGCGGAACACCCTTGTCTCGCTACATTATTTTCCCTAGAGACGTTGTAGTCTGCGAGTATATGCTCGGCATATGCTAACCCTAACCGTAGGGCTTTCACGCTCTAATATATGGATCCTAAATACGGGGAGCTCTCACCACCCCCTAACCCCTGGGGCTAACCTGAACCCTAGCCCCTAACTCCAAGCCCCCTCGCAAGCTCGGAACTAACCGCAACCTCCTAACCTAAACATATGCCGAGCGGTGGGCGTGTGGAAGGGAACTGAGAATAATAAACGAGCAAATGTTGAGCCCAGGCTGAACTATAGAAGGGAACAACCTAAGCGATGGAAAAGTTAGCTGAAACTACGTGCAAAGTAGATGCGGGAGACTCGCGACTGGTGTTGCAGGGGATGCGAAAGGCTAGAGTGTACGATGTACTTAAATGTACGAACCGATCAAGCTTCGGTACACGATGGTCGGAGAAGGTTGTGGTTTGGTGGTGGTGGTGTAAGGTAGAGATCGGTTGCTTTTGACCTCTGATTATCATAAAATCAATACTTTTATAGCCATCAGTAGCCCCTACCAGCCCGCCTCTCATTATAAATTACATATAAGTATACTCCGCATCATACCCCGGAATATAATTCTGCGGGCACGCCACAGCCGGCAAATAGCTATCCACGGTAATATTCTGCATGGCGAAATAATGCTGCCTGATCGTGCTGATCTGCGCATCAATCTTCGCACTATTGTTGGGATTACCATACATCAGCGAGTACCCATCCGTGTGGTTGATATATGTCTGTCCTCCCGTTAGCAAATATTCTCCTCCCTCTCACCTTACTCCACCAACCCGAGGCTTCGGGGAAGGTGAACTCACCGAACAATCTGGCACATTATGTCCAAACAAACTCCAAATCTGACTCCCTGCCACCACCGGGGAACTCGAATTTTGCTGTTTCAGGATGATGTCGTAGAAGCTTTGTAACGAATCCCCTTTCATGCCTGTCCATGCGATTTCACCAGCTAAGTAGACGCGGTTTGCGGATTGAACCGCGGCGATATCGGTGGTGAGGATGCTATTGTTGAGCGGGTAGTAGTGGTTGCTGAAGACGTCGACCTCGGAGACGGCAAAGTGGGTGCTGTTTACACCGTAGGTGCCGTCAATGCAGAGTTTCTTTGGGCCTTTTCTAGTGTCAGTAAGAGTAACGTGGGGAAAGGGGGCAAACCGAGTTTCTTGACAAAGCGGCAGATTTCTCGAATCCATGCTATTGGCACGTTTTTATCTTTGAATTTTCCACCGTCCAGTTCATTACCCGTCTCATAGCCGATGATTGTCGGGTCTTCAGCATATGAAAGACCAGTGTAGGGATTCACGTGCGTGAGTAGATAATGGATGTAATTCTTGAAATAGGTGACCACTTTGGGTTTGGTGTAGAAATACATTGTTTCTGGTGTCAGGGGAGATTGGCTGCCGGTGATGTTGTAGCCTGCCCAGCGGAGGAAGGTGAACTTTCCACCATGGTAGTAATCCTACACCGTCAGAAATTAGAGTGACCGTTGGAAGAGGACGTAGGAAACTTACATAATTATCAGTTAATGGAACCATAATTCTCAATCCGTGCTGTCGTGCCTGGAAAACAGCCCAGTCCATGGGCTCGAAAGCTGCATCGTTGTACACCCCCAAGGACGGGCTCAAGCTCAACGGATTACCGACGCTGACGCCCAGAGTATGAGCCCTGATGAGCGTCGCACCCATCATGACCAAAGTATTCATCACCTCAGTTGTCCGTCCTTTGGTGGGGTAGCTTGCGTTGAGTGGGGGGTAAAATGGTTCTCCCTTGGGAGGAATCACATTCTCATCCAGTCCAAGCCAGTACACGTTCGCGCCTTCCGCAGTCCATGGCTCTCCCATGAGCTTAAGGGAAGTTCCTTCTCGATATACATAGGAGTTTCGGGCATAGAGCGCCAGGTTGGGCTCGAGATACGTGGATCGGATCTGCTTCGTTAATGTCGGGTTTGGTGGGAAGAGAAACGTCACGGATGAAACATCGGGTAGCATTCGTGAGTTGTCTTTGAGGGGCAAGGTGGGAGCAGATGTTGCGAGACATGAGGTCGCGAGGAATAAGATATTTTTCAATGCCATATTGGCGTTAAGAAGGTCGGATTGATAAAGAGGTAAGAAGATGCGATGGAGGCAAGAACATTGCTATATATGCTTTGGCCAGGGGGGTCTCGCAATGAAGACCACCACCCCGGACTATGGAATTGGAATACGGGACAAACAAAATCATAACCGCAATTGGAACACGAAGATCGAAGCTTTGGAGAGGGGTACGGAAGAAATCCGATGCACGAATTGGATGTGTCAGTTGGAATGAATGCTAATGTTCGATGGGGCGCCCGCAGTCTCCGCATCAGTGGGCCTTCTCCATATCCGCTCTGCATCCCAAAAATCTTATGGAAATCTTGAGGCTAAGATATTCGGAGAACGAAGCCGACTGGATGATAGTTTAACGGAACTTGGCCCTCCGCGACTGATGTGGGCTGGTCTGAGCTGTGGAGTTGATCTCACTCTATGACATGGAGCATGCATGAAGTAATGGACCATCATGGCATCTGAAGCTGGGATGAGCCTCAAACTTTTGAAGTTGGGATTTTCATGAAGAAGGAAAAGATGTGAAGTTAGGGGTGTCGTTCAGGGGTGGATTTCAATTCGGTTAGCGTGGCCGGGTCTTCATCGGCTCCGGCGGGGCATTCAAGTAGCTTAAAAATATCAACTCCATTTCATGAGGTCGACGACTCTCAATCACACTTCACAATGTTCACAGGCATTGTCGAGATAATAGGAGGTATGTCCTCTAGTCCGCTGGTTAGGCCATACAGCTAACAGTACGCAGTCGTCTCCGAACTCAACCAGCAATCCGAAGATGGAGGCACAACTCTCACTATCTCCAACGCCTCCGACATTCTCGGTGACTGCAACCTCGGCGACAGTATCAGCGTCAACGGCACATGCCTGACCGTAACCTCATTCGATAAATCCTCCTTCAAAGTCGGGGTCGCACCCGAAACGTTACGGCGGACGAATCTTGGATCCCTCAAACAGGGCAGCAATGTCAATCTTGAGCGCGCGGTCTCGGCAAGCACAAGGATGGGAGGTCATTTCGTGCAAGGACATGTAGACACCGTTGCGTCGATATTGAAAGTCGAGCCAGATGGAAATGCGAAGACGTTCAGGTTTCAGCCAAGGGATAAGAGCGTGCTAAGATATATTGTGGAGAAGGGGTATGTGACGCTGGATGGGGCGAGCTTGACGATAACAAAGGTGGATGATGAGGAAGGGTGGTGGGAGGTTATGTTGATTGCGTATACACAGGAGAAGGTCGTCACAGCGAGCAAGAAACCTGGGGATGAGGTCAATGTAGAGGTGGATCAGATTGGGAAGTATGTTGAGAAGGCAGTGGAGGGGTACTTCTCAAAGGGGAGCAGTGGAGAACCTGCCATCTTGCAGAAGATGGTGGAGCGGATCGTGGACTCGAGAATTCAGGCAGCAAAGTAATGAAGCTATGTTACTCTTCCTCTATTCCTCTATTCCTCCCTTCAAGACTGAACTTTTATTCTTGAATGTGGCCATCACGGGTGGAACAGGTCAAACAGGCTTGTGATACAACTATTGCATTGCCGCTAGCAAGTCCCTAATCCAAGAAAGCGCCTCGCTTATCCTACTATGTCGAGATGAATACTAGTCCTCCAGCTTATGAGTCCATTCCCTTTAGTTAGTCCAACACAAGAGCTCCCAATATGCCTCTACCCCAAGTAGCCAAGCATCAGCAAGTGCCGCCGCACCACAAGCCACGCGCCATATCAGTCCAGGAACGGCAAGTTGGATCTGCTTCTGGCCGGTGAGCAGACAGCTCTACCAGCTTTCCTTTCCTGCCTCACATCGTATGCCGTTTGAGAAGCTCCATCGTCTCCTCCAGCTCATCCGCCTCCTCCTTCTCCATCATCTCGACATCCCCACCCTCAGTAGGATTTGGTGACGGATCTGCCACTGAGCAAACTACCGCTTTCTTTGCATGCCAGTCCCTGAGGATGATTGCGAATCTCTCGAGTCTCGCGAAGCGATTCTCATAATATTCGGGACCGCATTTTAGTTTGGTACTCTCGAGTAACTCCACACACTCTTGAGCCAGTGCTGCCAAGTCGGCATGGGTGTATTGCTTGAATTTGTAGAGTCTAGCTATGAAAGCTATGGCAATTCGGCACACAGCGCGCCGGTAGACGGTCGAGCTCTCGTGATGGAGGTATGGAAGCATATTTTCGACGCATTTAGATGCATCAGCTCTGCCTGCAGTGAAATGAGATATGAATTTTATTGCGAGTGCGTTGTAAGTGGAACAGCAATAGGGATCCTTACTTGATCCTCCTTTCGTGACGTCTCCGAGCTGGACTCGTTAGTTTAAGCGTTCAACTAGAAGAGGAAATCAACGACTTACAAAGATACAATACTCTGCTAAGAAGGTCCGGTCATCCTCAGTAGGACCAAACAACCCCTGCAGGCCCGCCTGTGCTGGAGAAGAAGACATTCGCTGTTAGTTTCCTGCTTCGTCGGGTTTTGGTTGATACTTGTTGCAAAGGGATCACCGAGGGAGCTCGAAAAGTCGTTGCTTTGTGGTTGGTTGTTCCGGTCGGGTCAATTGTTCTGTAATTTTATGCTCTGAACAGCACGCTGTGAACGACAAGAAAATTGTTTTGCCATGTCGATCTCAATAAATTTTGATAGATTTAAAAGCGCGTATTTAAACAGCAGCTATCTACAACCCCCCCCCCCCCCCAACAACAACCCACTTCTTCAAGAGCGCCTGTAAATGTACCTGCAAGTGTTTTGAGAACCATATTTAGTATTCTTTGTTTTTTCACGTCACCAAATGTTTGTAGATCATCTCTTTATATGGGAGTCTCTTCCTGACATTATATGGGCATAAAGAACTAGCCCATAATATATATAATTTATGTAATATAAAGCAATGACTTATATTAGACTCTCGCGCTAAAAGTATATAATAAGACATTCTTAATTTATATAAAAAAAACTATAATATAAGGAAAGATCTTATAATTAATAAAAATAAGCTTTAAAATATTTAGCTTAAATAAATTCTCTAGTTTATATGAGTTTAATAAACTCAAATATACTTAGTATAATAAATTAATAAAAAAGCTATAATTTATTAAGTAATAAATTATATATATTATAAAAGATATTAAAGAGTGTTTATAGAAAAGAAAGTTAATAATATCCTCGCAAATATATGCTTCCTAAAAGGGCCTTGAGTTGCTTGGTTTGAGTACTAAGCAAGACTTCTGAGCACTTTGAGGAACTAAAAAGAAATTTAACTCAATCGACGGACTCTTCTCGGTTCTCTGTCTAGTAACTAGCCACAAAGTATCTCCTCCTGTTCCTATAAACAGAATATAAAATATTGCTGGTCCAAGTTTAGCCACTTCGAGCAAGCGATGGTTCAACGCACCCGTCGAGGGCGAAGGGATGATAAAGATATCTAAGAGAGTGGTCCCATAAGGACAATTTAATAAACTAGCTGTTGTATTGGGGAAAAGTAGTAGACTGGTGAGCAACGGCTTGAATCACCCTGGCACAGGTCACCCAGATCTGTGTTTCACCATCAACTCTGGATACATTTGATGAACACCGGCAGCCAAGAGAGCATATACTATATACAGTCAGAGGGTTAACACGAGCTTCTCCGAAAATACGCACCCAAAAATATAGCTGCCTCCATACCCAAGATAACGTATATAGACGTCTCCGATCTTAGGCATCAATCTCGTTGATTCGCCGGCCGAGGTGTCGGTAGGCACACTTTTAACCCAAGAGACGCAATACCCTGCGCGTGGTCAATTTCCTCAACCCCAAGAACGTTGGTTTTAAAATCTTGGATTTGCTGGCCACGAAGCTCCCATTGGTACCCGATTGAGAAATATGCGACGGGTTATCAGTATTCGCCATTTTAGACCTAAAAATAGAAGTCCTCACACTCGGCGCCAGTTGAGAAAGCTGGCTAGGTCTCACTTTTGATCGAGGAGAACATACGCACTGGATGTCACGTGCTACGCACAGGCCACACAGATATATATATAGCTTCTTCCCCGCTCTTAGGGCACCATCATTCCTTACTATTATACCAATATACACCCATATTATCCCCACAGCCCCTACAGGCCTTGACACTGGACCTGCTCCTTTAGCTGTCTCTATGCCACTAGAAGAAGACTGCAGCGGCGGCCGTGCGTTGGGTTATTTATATGAATTTGCCCCTCACTCCGAACATTTTTTTCGGGCTATTTGCAATAATCTAATATATAATACGGTTGGTGTAACGTAATTCTCGTTTAGCCCACTGCTCCTAGACTTCCACAGGGGCTATGTTACCTCTCTGTATATTTTAGAGTTTGAACCTCGGAGTAAAAATTGGGGGTTGCAATTCCTTCTAGAAAGGCGTTTTGCTTTTCGGTCAAACGCAGAGTAGCAGGAAACCATGACAATACTCAACATTGCCAGCCAGGTCTAGCTGTTTGGAACACCCTGAGAGACCCTAACTTATTTACCGGAATTTGAATCCCCCAAGCCTCCGTTTACACTGATTCGTTATAACAATCGTTGAGTACTCGGGAAACCAGAAGGTAATGAAGAGAAGAGACATTACTCGGTGAAGAAATATAATCTAGACAGGGCAATGACGTAGCTCTCATAAACTAAATCGTGGACTGCAATGGCTTTAATGCAAAATGTTTAGTCCAAGATAATTCTTATGGCTTATTGTTGGATGAAAATCCGAGGAGTAAAGGATCTAAGGGTATTAAATCAAGAATTGTTATGTGGGATCATCGGAATAAGAGGGGAAGGGAGGAGGGTACATGGATAATAGGACTAGATGAGCTAGCAGAGCTTGGTCAAACCGGTTCCCATATTTTGATCTGGTTGTGATTTGTATCTCTGAATCAGTTGGGTCTTTACTAGCTTACTATTTAAGTAAAGCGATGGTACTGGGGTATAGTTCATCTTCAAGTGGTTTCAGGAGAACCAGGAGTAGGTCTCACTTGACTGGTTCATAATTTAAGTGATCGACGGTTAGAGAGTATGTATTTCAAAACCTCGTGAGGGACAAGAATATGAAACGACTATTTGAACGAAGTCTCGCTCTTCCGTCAAGTAGAAGGAAAAATAAAGTATTTGAAGTAGGATCGAAATGTGGCAGAGTAACGGTTCTGATGCGCATCCCACGGAAATAGTCCCCTGTCAAATGAGGATAACAAATATGGTAAAAATAATATCAAGAAAAGAAGAATAATACCGCCCCCCCCTTTAAGTAATGCAAGACACCTTCAGTACCCAGATATTGCAATAGAACGCCGAATCTCTAGTCACCGCGAGGTGCGCACCTAACGCTAAAGTATATGCAAGTGCCTATGTACGACGCTGAAACAGAATGCCCAACGATTTCCCCGAACGCCAAACTCCTCGCCCTTCATACATTATGAAACGACGCAGGGTATTGCCTTAGTTCCGGTCTAGCATCTGTTAGCTCAGGCCCTTATTCAACTTGTCTTGGACTAACGTTTCTAAACCGCAACCCGATTTACCCATGAGTGGCCATGTCCTAATTTTGTGTGTTGAAGGTGCCCGCCCCTTGACCCATATCTCTTGGGTATTCCCCAAGTATCGTTGTAGCCATTCGGACATTCCAAGCTGGCGGATGTCTACTCGAGCAAGTAGCGTAGTTGTCTTCGCGGATCCATGTCCAACGTCCAGATAGATCTCGATGTGTTTACTTCGCCCTTTCACGGGAACGCACTGGTAGCCTAGACTGGAGTCAGTACTTGAAGAACCGGCCTTTTTGATGGACTTACGATCTTTGTGTTCGGCAGAGATCACCTCTTTAGAGAGCACCTCACGGAACGGGTCGTACACGACTTTCTCCTCTTTTCTCCTCTTCATTTTCAGAGCCATACCAAATTGGTGGGGGCTTTATGCCTCTGAATTGAGAAGTTCTCGTCGCTTTGCTGTGGTGAGACTAGGGGAAGGAGTTGGCAGATGCGGCGAGATAAAGGACCGGCAACGGAGGTCTCAAGAACTCAAAGAAAGAACGCCGAGTCAACGAATCCCCATCATGGATCAATCAATCAAGGCCCAAAAAGAGTCATCCATCAAGAATCAAGAAGCGAAAGTGGCCCACAACAGAACTGGTCGCACTTTATTGTCAGATCCTCGGGGGAGCCTCGCCCGTCGAGAAAAGCCCGGGGCTGAGCCAGAAGGTGTGTCAGGAGGCGAGTCGCCGGGCAACAACGGACTAACGGACAACTACTTAATAAACTGCATTGGGGGCCACCACACCATCAACAACTGTGCACGCGAGATTGGGCGGCTTGCCAGGCACACTTGGGGCAAGGCGGGTTCCAAAAGGGTGGTCATTGGCTAGTCTGTCAAACCAGTCTGCCTCGCGACAGACCGCCATCTCAGCCCCGTGGATCGCAATTTTAGCAAATCACCTATAATTTTCCTACACCCTCTATACTTGTTGTCTAGATAGCCGTCTCACCCGCTTTTTGTTTCGGAGTGAACCTGGCTGGGGCGGTCGCTCATTTGCCGTTTTCGTCCTCCCTCAGAACCAGATTATATTCAGTTCATTAGGTTGGGTCCTTGTTTCTTCCTCGCCGTCTTATACTGATGAAGGTGTAATGCAAGGCTCGATGATTCAGTCATCGAACTCAGGAATCCCTCTCGGAGGCCTGATTATCTGGCTTATTCCTATTCGTCTGACTTGCTTGATTTGCCCTTCCCTGGGCGTATTTGTAGCGTTGGCCCCCAATTATCTCAATTTAAAATCCCTCTCAATTCGCAGATGAATTGCCTGGACCTCTTTTTGCAAGAGATAATTCTTTTTGTTTATTTCGTGGAACCATAGTAGATTGTCATTTGACTCGTCTCAAGTCTGTGGCTCATCCGTCAGTATGCAAGCCACTTCTTCAGAAAAGCTGTGCCGAGCCTCCTCAAAAAAGGCTGAGCCTGACAGTGCTCAGCCCACGCGCTCTTCGGGTCACCGATGCCGAAGTGCCAGCCTCATCTCTGGCAAGTCTGGAGCTCCATATCTAGCACGTCCAGGGATTTTCCCCGACTCCTAGATTTTCTTGTCGTCTAACCTTCCTTTCCTTACTCAATTGTCAAGTAGTGGCCCTTTCTCTATCTTCATGGCCAATCGAGAGAAATCGATTGAGTTGTACGAGGTAGAAGCTGGCCCTTCTACAAAACGCCTCGCTACACCGAAAAGTCCTGCAATCGACTTCACCTCAAATATCAAAAAATTCGAGCTATCGAAGCAAAAGGCAAATCTTTCGCCCGTTTCTGGCTCCAAAGCTGGAGATCATCGAAGACCAAGGTCGATAAATGGACAGCCTTCGGTATGGATCGACAGAGACGCGCCAGGTTGGAACCAAAGCCCTACTCAGGCTGCATTTCCACCACCACTGCCAAAGAAGAGCAAGCTCTATGAATACAAGAAGATATGGAGGAAGAATTACACCTTGAGTCTTGGTACGGCCATCTAGGTGTCTCTGCTTTTTCAGCGCTGACATACTCACAGATGGTGGAGGTGTGCGCGGCTATTCGCAATTGAGTATCATTAAAGCATTAATGGACGAAGTTGGGAAAATCGAGCGAAGCCAGCCCGACAAAGACGGCAAGCCAGTTTTGTCAAGCTTTCACCCCTTCACCCCAAGCGAAGGGAAATCCGTCGTCCAACCCAAGTCGAAACACAAGAGAAACAAGATGAAGAAGGAAAACTCTACGAATGGCCACAAAAGTGGCGATGATTCACATGGCAATGGAAAGGGAAAGGGGAAAGAAATAGAAAGACAATCCGAATCGTCTTTGGATGAAAAGGAATGCTGTCAATTTTACCCCTATCACTACTTTGACTACATTGCAGGAACAAGTACGGGAGGGTAAATGGACTTCTTTATATATCCTTCATACTTTACACATTACTGACCTCTTTGAAGATTGAATGCGATCATGCTTGGGCGACTTCGAATGAGCGTTGATGACTGCCTTACTGGCTACACTGAAATGGCCCATAAGGTTTTCGGTAAACCTCGGTTAGCATCGTACCGCTTCTCCCCCCTATTTTGGTTTTGTGCGAAGTACAGCGGTTGTCGATTAAGGGAGGTGGTGAAAGATGTTGTCGAGGAGCATTTGTGTGAAGGGGAAGGCTACATGTTGGCCATGAACAAGGAGATGTGCCGAACGTAGGCCTACCTGCTCGATGACCTTTCCCTTATGCATTCATCTAACACTATTATAGTATTGTGCTGGCAATGAAGAAGAATCTCAGTAACGTTGAAACCGCACATCTATTCCGAACGTATGACCACCACCGGCGAAGAGCGCCCCAAACGGACAAACGCATGGACGCTTTCGAGCAAGAGGGTCCTGCTGATTCAAGTCTTATCTGGGAAGTGGCGCGCGCAACCTCAGCAGCTCCAACGTATTTCAACACAATCAAAATCGGAGAAGATGAATATGGAGATGCCGGGTTCGGGGAAAATAATCCAAGTAAAAGGCTGTTCTGGGAAGTTAGGTTCATGAACAACGGCGATGAGAAAGCCAACGCGCTTTCGGTAAGTATTGGCACAGGCGTCACAAGATTTTCTCGGTTTCAGAAAGGTCCCTTGAAAAGAATCATTGCCTGGATCAATGCGGCGAAGGAAATCTCCAAAGATTGTGAAAAGACTCACCTCGAGATGCAGAATATGCACAAAGGCAAATACTACCGCCTTAATGTTCCTGAAAAGGCGACAGATCCAGATGCTCAGGAACCATCAAAGTGGCAACACATCAAGAAACGTACGCGGAAATGGTTCGGCCACGGTGGGGAGCCATTGGATCGAGGACTTGCAAAAATCAAGTTAGATGAGTGGAAGTCAACGAGCTGGTGGCGGAAAGAGAGCACGCAGGAAGAAATCGAGCGCATTACGAGAGAGTATCTGAAGGATCCAGGGGTGATTCAGGAACTGAGCGAAATTGCAGAGATGCTGGTTTCGCACAGACGAGCAAGGGCGAGGACGGATCGGTGGGGAGCATACGCGTTAGGAATTCGGTACGAGTGTCCAGTGATTATGGAACCTTGTCCCGAAGATACTTGGACGGATGAGCGGGGTTTACAGAGGCATTTAGAGGAGGACCACGAGATTTTGGCGAGGATGATGCCAGATGAGCATATGGAGCAGATTCTGAGCGCGGGGAAATATTTTGAACACCATCACTAGGTGGTGAAGTTTCATTTTTCCTTCACAATTTCTGATCAAATTTTCTTGCTCTCAACTGTGGATAGTTTCCATGCTTGGGTTTGTAATATTGTTTCTCTCTGAGGATGGATTGGAACCACGAGAAACCGGCATTTGAAACATTATAATGGTGGCTATTGAGCGAGGAGTTCACAGATACTTTGCTTTTCGGATACCCAGATGTATTATACAATGTATATACAGAGCATGCTTTTACAATTTTGAGAATTATAAAGGAGTGCTTCAAGTCTTTTCGTCTCTTGAATCTTAGGCCTCTTTTTTTTCGTACCATTATCAGAAAATCAGGCTGCTTATTCTTTTTTTTTTAGACTGTGCAAGATTATAACATAGTGTTGGAATAGCTGCACTGCGAATTTCCTGGTCATGTGACTAGTCATGTGAGCTCGCGTCGCATGCGTGACTCGACCGGTAGACTAGTCCCCATTAGGCTTAGCAGATTTAGGGATCGCATATCAATACTACCATACTGCGATCCTTACTTCTGAATTAACTACTTTACTAACTTTACGCACTGAGTATTCTACGCATATTACGTGTTATGCTACGCGTTACTGGTGAACCGATACATAGTAATGGAAATTAATAATGAGGCAAGAGCTAACCTCGCGCCGGAATGGTATTTTTTACATTACGTGCTAGTGATTCGCTACGAAAAGGGGTAAGTTCTCAAGCGACGAATCGGAGGCCTATTTGCCAGAAATTCATCAACGATCGAAGTGATAACGAGGAAACCCCAAGTGACGGAGGGCAAGGAGTGATTGAATAACTCTGCTCTGTTGAAGAGAACACTGTCTAGATGAGTGGGTTTGAGTAACGATCTACTTTTCATCTTACGAGACCTGATCTTTAGCACGCCCCACTCCCTATTTATTCTAGCCTAAAATTCACCGTGACATATAGAAGGGCACTCGAGGAAGCATAACAAAGACTGCACTATTGATTGTAGCGTGCAAAAACCATGATTTTTTATTATTAAAAATCGGGCTAAAATTAAAGTAAATATTGTGGGGTCAATCGCCTGATAGAAAGATCGACATTCCCTAAACTGACGCCATACTCCAAGACCTCCGTCTTATAACCCATGAAACTCGGGGTTGATTTGGTGTGGGGTTTGGCGAGCAATCACTCTCTTCGGCCTAGGCTTTTATGTTTGCTGCTATATCAGCGGTTGCCAACCTCCTGGTGCTCGGTCCTCAAGGTAGGTCACATCCGTGGATGGGGCTGAGAGGCTCCGTAAACCGTTCGTTCCTGGTCGGCACTATTTACCCGATCTGTGTATGCTGGAGCGTTTACTCTCAGATCGAGCTTTGATGGATAGGCTTGTCCATAGCACGCCAGGAATGTCACGTTTCCTCCTCTTCCTGCACGTCCTTCAGACAAAGGAGGCGAGTGATCCTCGAGCGAATATTCCATACGATTCTCCTTCCACAGGAGGTAGCCCTGGTTCAAGCCGTCTGGCATGTTAGACCTGTGCGAGATTCTACCAGTACCTCGACATATCATCTCTTTTATTTCCTTCGTCTTACTACCCCTTCCCTTCGACCTTTCTACCCTTTTTATTTAATCGCTGTAGTTCATGAAAGAAGATCGTTTGTCATTCATCTAAGGCTAGGCTATGTTTAGAAGTTACTAACCGGGGTGTATTGAATTCTGGAGTACCCGTTTCATGAACACAATGGTGAAAGATACACTCAGCCCATGGCGTTGGCCACGTTCGAGCCACCTATTTCTTCTATAAATCAGAAAGTCTACCTAGCAACCCAACATCTAGTCAATGACGCAGAGAAAGATTCAGCTAGAGAGCAGGTGCGTCACTCTTTCTTGTAAAACCACATTGAGACGATGAAAGAAGGGACAATAATACAAATGAGCGGGGTTTGTGCTGAAGGTATCTCTGGCGAGGAGGCTTCAAAGATAGGAAATCTCAGCAGGCTTTCCGGGACCGTCAGGCGCAGCAAGTTCAAACTCTTGAGCAAAGCGTAGTGGATCCTTTAAAATGGAAATTGACTATAATGAGGCATCACGACGCACAGACTTTCTCGAGGGTATGATAAAGGAGCTTTTGAAATAGAAAGAGGAGTCTGAGAAGGCATACTCAGACCTCCAGGCAAAATATAAGGAATTGAAAAACGATCTGAAAACGGTTGTGGCTTGAGATGGTACATGCTGTGTACTTTCTTTTGGTTGGAAATTGATGTTGAATTGGAGATATCTCGATATGCTGTCCGCCTGGTTGGTGACGGGGACAAAGGACGGCGAGCTTGACACACAAGGAAAGTCGGATTCGGATCCCCAGCCTTTAGTGGCATAACTCTTCGGGTTGGTTAGGGCAGATAAAAACTTGCACAATCCAAAGCACTTGTTCGCGACATGTTGACCAGAGACTGTGAATGATGTGCAAGCGACTTGGTAGTAGAGAGGGTTAGTTGCTATCCATCCAGAGCCTTCACCCGCACCAGCGGCATGGTATTATGTGTGATACGGAGCTCTGAATAAATCCTTAGGGGAAAGGTGTATGGAAGTCTTAAGACGGTGGGCTGGACAGTGTGTCTTCGGGGCAAGTGCGACTGTAGGACATCGGGTCGGCCTCATTTGGAAACGGCAGTTATTGATTCGAGTGACCGGCCATCCCATCTCCGAATGATACCATCCACATCCACAATTCTACCATTGTATGTATCCGTCAGATGTTCTGCCAGACTGTCCAGTCTCGAGGTTGCTGTAGCGTCGGTCGAGGGAGGATTCAAGTGAAGTGTGGACTGGTCGGGTCGCTCAGTTCAGTTCAGTGTATTCGTGATAAAGTCCGGCAAAGCGTGTAGTAGACAGATTATTATTGATAGCTTATTTATACTAATTGTCGAAGAAGAGTAATAGGCAGCAGTTGGTGATAAATGTAGCCCCTAGAGTGCGTTCAAAACAGAGGAGCTGCGTTGACCTTGCCAGAAGTTTGCGTGGGTTGTTGATCTTGGGGCCGGTCATTGGTGGATGCTTCCAATAGCATAACATTGAAATTGCTGTGGCAGATCGAGAGCAATGGTTTTAATCAATCGTGATGTGTTCAAGAGGAGCGGATTTACTGGGAGCTTGGGCTGGAAGAGCAGAGGATTCTGCCGGACTGATTAGGAGGCGGTGACATCTCGGACGCAGTCCTATTAATAAGCGGATGATGGCTCTCTCGAGGTACATGCAGGCTCACGATCACTTTTGCATCAACGGAATTTTAGAACCAGCAATCGATCTCCTGGATTAATTCGACGCTACAAACGCCCCATTTACCATGCCAACGAGTCGTAACTATCGTTACTCAAGTATTGTGTCCAATTTTTTACCATCCAAAATGCCGCTCGCCATGTAACTCCCCCAACGCCTTCGCCGCAGCCTGAAAAGATTCCAAAGCCCGGCGCAATCAAACTCCAGAGAAATCAATCCATCGCATTTCTTATCAACACATACGCAAACAGCAACAACGTATTCGAGCGCTTATCGAGTATCACGCCTCGGCGGTGACGGGTCTCGGCTTGGGAATAAACGGTCGATGTCTGTGATAGCTGTGGCGACCGAGTGCCTCCGTTGTGAGTATGGCGTCCACGGACCATTGGAGTTCATGAAGCCATCGAGGCGTCGTGCTCGTTGATCTGCAGTGACGACTGGGTCTTCGAGTTCGATCTCAGAGTCTGAAGACCTGTTACAAGTTAGTCCCTGGTTCTAACAGTGTGACTCTACCTCAAGTCGTTATTATGAGGGATTTTGTGAAGAACGTACTCGGTATCGGAGCTAGCGACGGCGATGTGCGAGATTGCATCGAGCTCTTCTTGTGTGAGAGGAGGAGTTGTGAGAGCAAAGCTGGGTGTGGCTCTGGCAGACATGGTGGCGATTGATGGCGATGGTCTTGGATGGACAGTATACGAAGGTGTAGTCTGGGTGAGGAGAAAGTCGATGACTGCAAAAGAGAAAGCAAAGCAGGCGGGAAGCCCGATTATATTGGAGGCAAAAGCGTGCGCGCGCCGGCAGCGCAACCAACGAGGAGTGCTGTCATACGACCGCCTCAGGTTCCTAGTTTTAACCGTGAAGGATCCAACTACTGCACTTGCTGCTCAAGAGGTGTCGATTGGTGTCGGCGAGTCCGGTCTGCAAGGGTTACGGCCAACCATTTGCTCAGCGCGGGCTGTGGCGAAAATCTCTTACCTGCACATGGAGAGTGTATACGTGGCAATGCAACTACCTTTGCAGGCGAGCGCAGGCGCATTCGCACCCCGATCGGGCCGGAGCGTCATTTTATTCGCTGACTTTGTTTGCGATCGGGGCCTTTGAATGCGCGCGCTCGCAAGTCGGAGGAAAAGTGTCAGCAGCCCTTTGCCCTTTCGTTCCCGTATCGTGCGGTACGGCCGTAACTATTCTGGGCACAGAAAAGAATGGAGCTTTGAATTCAGACCCTTGAGGTTCAGTTTCAGAGAATTTTATCTCCAGTGTTGTGGTACCTTCCGTACGATTCGAGTATCCGTGAAGTGTTGCGAGTGAGGTGTGAACGTAAACAAGCGAGGCAGTTTTCAAGATCAGCTTCCTGGGTAAGCTGGCATCAAAACACAACAACAATTAGAATTAGATGATAGGTTGACACGTTTTCAAGCACAAGTGTAAGAACGGAACTGCATCATGCGAGAAACACCTCCATTGAGCAGATACCCAGCTTTTGCCGAATGCATGCGGCTAATTCTCTGGCGGAAACACTCTTGGCAAGGCATGCTGAGAGCGCCTTTGGTGTCACCCAATGGATTTTTTTAGGAGTGAAAATACCTCACCTCGCAAGTTGAGCCCACCAAAGCAGGTTTTTGCTTTCCTTTGGCGCCAAGTACGCCAAATGCGGGTATCATTCCGGCCCATCGTCGAGAAAAATGCCTTACCCGCTGCGAGCTTGGTTTCACGAAAACGAAAATTTGCCGTCCAATCTAGCGAAGACAGAGCAACGGGCAATGCGGGATGTCTATTTTTGCAGTCGACAGCCGGGGTTTGGGGAGATCTGACTTGTCTCGCTTGAAATCACCCAGAGCAAATTTGCTTGCACACCACCACCCACTTCTGCCGGGCGCCTTCAAATTTGCTATTGTCAATCGCACCGCACCCCACGCCAAAATAGCTCAGCCTCCTGCTCATTTGGTTTCACTCGGGAAAAGTTTGCTCTCATTGCCACGTCAGCACTTCTATTTTTACTCCCCGTCACTTCCCGGCCACTCAGCCCGCCCCCTAGCGCTGCCAATTTGCGGTCGGAACTTCCCTGAGAGCCGACATCAGAAATCTCTGCCAACGCCATTTGAGGTATTTGCAGTATTGACAAGCAGAACGCGCGATGCCTCCGGACACGAACAGTCCCACGCCCATCGATCCGCAGCTTACGGGAGACACCTCGAGGCTGACTGCTCAGCCTTTGACCGTGCTACCGACAAGAACGCAGCATGATGACGGCGAGGCTGATGACGATGATGAGACTGAGCAGAGGAATCTGGGGAGTGAGAAGAGACAGAAGTTGAACTTGTGGAAGTGTAAGCAGTGTCGGGAAGCGAGGAAAAAGGTACGGTACTAATTACGAGTCTTCCGTTTGTGGCTTTTCTCCCATCCCACCGCTTTGCCCAGTTCGACGGCTTGACATGCTTTGCTATTATGTGGGCTTTGCAAAGACAAATGTTGATAGGGCCTTTGCATGAGCGATCTACAAGGTTGATGGTTCTCTTTGGCTTCGGAAATATTATGGTCAAGTTCGTGACTGCTCCTAACAAGCCCACCTGCGTCTAATTCAATGCCATTATCATTATGTTACACTTCTTCCTGCATGCCCCATCACCACCACATACTTGTCTTATCACACATTATTTAGACCGCTTAGCTGACATATAGAAGTGCTTCCCGGCAGACCGTGTCTGGCCACAAAAATGCGAACGTTGCCTTGCCCACCGGCCTGAACCCCTTGACTGTTCCGAGCCGGAGTTAAATACTCGGAAAAGGGGCCCGAATCTAAAAGACAAAGCACGAGACAAGCAAAAGGAAAAACCAAAAGATAAATCCCCAAGACCACCGAAACGCATACCGACTGTGTCGACTTCGGAGCCTCGAAGTCGGGATAGTACTGATGAGGAGGAGGGTGGCGCCTCAACGGATGATGCGACAACGTATGAAAGGCCGCAGCGCACCGAAGTAGTATCAAAAGGGGTTAAGAGAGAATATCTTGGAGATCCTGTCCCCGAGTTACCAAAAATGGTGATCAATGACGAGAACTACCGTCCAACCTCGGTCTACCAGCCTTTAGCAGAAGGCGAATTTCGAATCTTAAAGCTCGCTCCCGGCAAAAAGGACGACAAAATCATCTCCTGCTCCTTCGTCACAGCGTCTGTGGATCGACCCATGAAGTACGAGGCCATCTCGTATCTCTGGGGAGCAGCGGGCCAAAGATCAATGGAGATTCATCTGACCGATCCCCAAGGCAAATCACATCCCATATTCATCAGGAGTCATCTCTACGAAGCACTGAAATTCCTGCGCCACCCTTCAAAATTCAGGTATTTCTGGGTCGATGCACTCTGCATTAACCACGGCAGTAGCGACAAAGTAGAGAAGAACAAGCAGATTGCAATGAAGCGATTTGTCTTCCGTAGCGCGGAGAATCTCTGCTTCTGGCTTGGTGAAGACGAGAACTCGAAAACGGCGCTTAGGTTCATTCCACGAATCCTTGATCTTGTTGGTATTGACAGTCTCGTCCGCGACGAGTCTACCGTTGATGACTGGTTAGCTTTCGTAACGTTGCTCAAGAACCCCGTTTTCAGTCGTCTCTGGTTGGTCCAAGAAGTTGCAGTTGCACAGAATGTCACTTTGCATAGCGGCCAGCCTGCAATACACTATGGAGACCTAGTAGATGCCGTCGCAATATTCAGATCTTTTCGAAACCAAATTTCGCTCATGTTCCGTAATAAGGGGAAGAATGCCAAAGAGCTGTCAGCCCGAAAAGTCATAATGGCGGAACGCTTCATCGAAGTCTCCGCGAACTCTTTACGCATCACCACAACCCCAAACAAAGAGCAGAAAACACATCGTCTTCTCAGTCTTGAAGCATTGGTATCACATCTGACTAGCCTCGACTCAACCAACCCCCTCGATAGGATTTACTCCGTGCTCGCCATCGCCAAGGATGGCCCAAGACTGGACGAGAAAACACTGATGCCGATCTCTCGGCAAGACGACGACGCACTTCGGATAGACTATGAAGCGGACTTCGTAGACGTGTACCAAAATTTTGTGATCCGAGCCATTCAATCGTCTCATTCCCTCGACATAATATGCAGATATTGGGCGGGAGCGGTCGAGAACCTGCCTTCCTGGGTCCGGCCCAAACAGCTCCTGCAGCCAGCATTGGATGGCAATGTTTCCGAGCGTACGGAGGCGGATAGTCTCGTCGGGCTGCCAGATCACAATGACTACCACGCATCGCGAGGAACTGTGGCTACTTTTCGGGTCAAAGCTCAAGCTTCCTTCGCCAACGACAAAAGTAAATTACTCTGCGTGCGCGGCATGCGAGTCGATACTATTGCCAAGCTCGGGCCACGAGCCTCAGAAGGAATCATCCTTTATGAATGGCTGGCGCTAGCTGGCTGCGTTAGTCAAGGACTCCAGTTTAATGTCCCAGAGGAATTCTGGCGTACACTCGTTGCAGATCGCGGTCCTAATGGAACGATGGCACCGTCTTGGTATGCTCGCGCCTTCAGATACTGCCTACAACATCTTACTGCTACCGGGGACATCAACACGAACCGACTAATTTCATTACAAGAGGATGAGTCTTCCCTGGGCGTCAGTTTCTTGAACCGAGTTCAGAGCGTTATCTGGAATCGTAAATTTCTCGTCAGCAAGGAAAATGGGTGGTTTGGATTGGGGCCTATGGCAACAGTGGAAACAGATATCATTTGTGTTCTTTATGGATGTAGTGTTCCTGTTATCCTTCGACCGATGGAGACAGAGGATGGGGAACAATACTTCCTGCTAGTCGGGGAATGTTATGTGCATGGCATAATGGATGGGGAAATTATAGAAACTGCCGGCAAGTATGGGGAAGAGGAATTCGATCTGAGATAAACAGCAACTACTCGGCAAAGAACCGTTGCCGATTTTCTAGACTCGATTTGGCTTCTGTAGGTACGACTAAATGAGAGCCTTTGACCTCACCCTTAAATTTCATCAATCCCGCGTGCGTACAGCATCATGGTGGTGCTGGCGATTTCCAAGTTTTTCTATTTCAAGTTAAAGGGGAAGGGTTACTGGTTCTTGAAGCTTAAAGAGATTATTCAATTGTGGAGGTCAGGGATGGCGCTCATAGAGCCCATGATTGGCCCACGAACTGTCTGATTAGTCAGCAGCATGCCGCCAGCTTCGAAAGCATGAAAATGGTCTTCTTGTACTCAATCAAACCTTCATTGCATTTCGACTGTCCTGACCCCTTTTCGCCGAAGATGAGGTCCTGAAATATGCCCCACGGATCGTCATGTTCGGCGAATTGCTGCTGGAAGCTGGCGCAGCAATTGTGGCGATGCCCTGCAGCAAGTGGATGAGGCTGTGACATTACTTCTTTTGGTGGTGGCCATGGCAGTTCACAAGGTAGGAAGAGGTTTCCTCCTTCAACATTCTTCTAATTCATCTTCAACGTTCTTATGATCCAGTCTCTGCCGCACTTTCCTTTACTCTTTTGTTTCCCATCATGGATGCAATATCGGCCCTCAACATAGCCCAGAGCGTCGCGCAGTTCGTCGAATTTGGCTGCTGCATTATCTCGAACACAACGCAAATCTACAAATCTATTCATGGAGCCACTGCATCACAAATCGAGACAACTTTCGCTGCCAGACGGCTCCTCGAATTGAGCGAGAGAATGCAATCCTCTCTGCGCGAACAAACTCCTCCCGAACAGCCTTCCCCCCCTCCTAGCGAACCCCATCCACCTGAACCACCTACCCTCGATGACTCTACTCTAGCCAGCGAGGTGGAGTCAGGTAAATGGGAAATATACGAGAGACTAAAAGATGAATACGATATCGAGTCGGCAACATTTCCAGTCAGAAAGGCAGACTTCGAAAGACAGATGAGAACATATGCTAGAGCTAAGGAATCTCATGAGACACTCTGCGAGATCTGCCGCAAATGCATAGTACTATCCAATGACTTGCTCGTCAAGTTGAAAGAGCTGAGTGTTCAAGGACCGAAGCATCGGAAATTTAAGAGTCTTCTATTGGCTCTGCGGAGTGTTTGGTCTAGTGAAGCAATAGGGGATTTCCAGAAGCGAATAGAGGCACATCGACGGGAGCTCAGCGATCATTTATTGGCTGCCACGTGGTGAGTGCCTATTCTATAATCACTATGCGACCGAGTTCTTTTATGCATTGTTTTGTGCTGACCAAATCCCCGGAGCACAGTGAAAAGCTACAGCTTCTCTCAATTGACAAAAAGGCAATCCACGACAACGACAGGTTCGAGTCGCTCGATGCAGGCCAGCGACACAACATTGACAACATTACAACTATTCTTAGCATTGTCGTCAAGGAATCGCACGACAAACTCAAAAGCGAACTGGTGGCGCGACTTGAGAATATGCAGAAAGAAAGGCTTGCTGAAGAGGAGAAGAAGTACGTTGAACAACAACGTCAACTTGACGAGACCGCCGATCTTGCTGTGTTGGATCATCTCAATTTCGCCTTGAAGAACGCTCGTCGAGAGGAAATTCACGACGCACATAGGACCACATTCTCTTGGATATTCAAAGATCCCGAGATCGTGAGGGCACCCGGGGATGTCGCAGAGAACACCCGGCCGTGGAACAATTTTGTTGAATGGTTGAAACGCGGCAAAGATATATATTGGATCAATGGCAAAGCAGGTTCTGGGAAGTCGACTTTGATGAGATATATCGTTGAAAACGCGGAGACCTTTGAGCATCTTCGAGAATGGGCAGAGCCTGCTGAATTGCGCGTAGCGAGCTTTTATTTTTGGCACAGTGGTCTGCCGGAGCAATGCTCACAATCTGGATTATTTCGATCACTCTTATACGAGATCTTGTGCAAGAGACCTGACCTGGTGCGCCACGTCTTTCGAGATGAATGGGAGGCTTCTCGTTCTACAAAGTCCAAAGTGGAGCAGATGAGAATGCTAGAGCGAGTTCGTTCCTTCAGAAGACTGAAAATGGCCTTTGCATATCTTGTAAGCCTTGCTTCCGATGAGCTCAAACTTTGTTTCTTTATAGATGGACTCGACGAGTACGAAGGCCAGGGCTCTGAGGGTCCAGAGACTATTATCAATGTTTTCAAGAGCATTCCAATATCTCCCAATCTGAAGATCTGTCTGTCGAGTCGCCCATGGGTAGCTTTTGAGAACGCTTTCAACAAAGGGCCAAATCTGAGATTGCAGGATCTGACGTACAGAGATATCCGTGTTTATGTCCGCGACAGGCTCGAGAGTGACCGCCGGATGCTTCAACTATCCGAGGCCTACCCTGCTCAAAAGGAATACTTCGTCAGAGAAATTCTATCCAAAGCAAACGGCGTTTTCCTATGGGTATCTCTCGTAATAACGTCCTTGCTCACTGGATTAACAAACCGGGATGATATTTCGGATCTTCAAAACAGACTGAAACGCATTCCACCTGATTTGGAAGAGTTTTATGGATACATGTTGAAAGGAATTAGCAAAGACTATATTGAAAAGGCTTCTCGAATTTTCCAAATCTACAACTCCGCATCAGATGTCGACGTGCGACCTACTGTATTAGAACTCGACCTTGCTGTGACGGCTACATATGCAGACTCAATGACATCTGAGAGAAAGGTCATGAGTGAAGAAAATATCCAGAAAAGATGTGATCGGATGATCACGCAGTTGAAAGTAGCTTGCGGAGGCCTGCTCGAGGCACATGACCACCTGGATTCCCATTGGGAAGCTAAAGAGGATAGCCAGGACCATTTCGCGCGGCCAGCACCTACTCCCGCGAGCACCGACGCTGAGGAGGAAATGAATGAAACCCATACTCATAAGATCAAAGCCGATGCCAAAGTGTCGTATCTACATCGAACCGTTAGCGACTTTTTGAAGAAGGATTCCACTAGAGCCTATCTCGAATCCAACACATCCAAATCAGACTCTTTCGATCCCAACTTGTCCCTCCTGATGTCTTACTTGATCAATCTCAAACAATCTATCTGCTCATTCTACATCGGCGTGTATCAAGAATCGAGCTTGGACTTCCGAGTGTGGCGAGTCACCAACGACTTCTGCCACATTGCGCAGAAGGTTGACAGCAGCAAGGGTGCTTTTGTTCTTGCACTACTAAACGAGTTTAACGTCGTGGCTCCGCATTGGTGGCAAAGAAAAACAATGCTTCACGAATCCAAGTTTCGAGATCGGGATGCTCCTTCAAAATCCAAACAATGGCTGGACGGAATATTTTTGGTTGCGATACGGTTCGGTCTTTGCTCCTTTGTTCAGGACTACCTTCAGACATATCCCATACCTCTAGGTCTACCTGGGTATACGATATTGATGTACGCCCTCGGTCTATCTCTTGAAGAACCTGAACCGTTCGTTCTCCTCAAGCAACCAGCTTGCCCCCCCATTGTCGAAATCCTCCTCCAACGTCGCCAATGGCCAAACAAAGTTGTGAAGAACGGCTGCCACACGGTGTGGCAGTATTACCTCAAAGCCTATCGAACCGAAAGTGCCAATGTGGTCAACAGCGACAAACATTACGAGAGATGGGCTCTCATTATCAAAAGTATGCTGGAGCACGATGCAGACATTACGGATACCGTCATGGAAGTTGACCCTCCCGTTTTACCTCCATGGATCTTTGAAACCATCCAAGATTCCGACAATCCTGCGACCAAAAGGCATTCCCTTGAAGCCCTGATCAATGACTTGGCAGCGAAAACACCCCCAGATACTGCGGCTCTCCTCCGAGATGCCTATCAGAGACGAAAGCATCTCTCAGCACCGGGGGGAACACCTAGCCCCGCGGGCTCATCGTCCCCGAGGAAGCGCCCCCACGAGACCTGCAGAGAAAGCATAACCCCCACCAAGGCAGTCCGCCTCAAAATTGATGACGACGGCCGCGATGAGTCTTCGATCAGGTCCACCTCAAGATTACGAGAACGTCTGGGGGAGATCAAAGGTGCTTCTCCTGGAAAGCGAACGAGATTTGATTTGATTTGAGGTGATCTTCTCTCCCCAGCGGTCAAGAGAAACTTACCGGAGTTGAAGGTCGGTTAATAAGCCACTTGAGGATGACGCTGCTTTTGGAGCCTACTAGCAATTTGCTCGGTTCGAGATAAGATCATCGTGGAATCAAAAAGTGAACTAGTGAATGTCCTTGGGGCGAGTAATATGTACGTGGGATGATGGATACAGAGGCTACGCCGGTGGCGGATGCCAATCGCCATCGGGCTGAAGGCTTTGAGATTTAGCGCGTTGATGATATTCCGAGCTGGAGAAATGCTACGCATTAGTACCGCATAGGCTTCTTTCAGCTGGTAGAGTGTCTTGCTCCTGCCAGGTATCATATGCCTGGATGCACTATGCTGTAACGATGATTTGTTTCACTGGGAAGCCGGGAGCTCTCTTTCACTGTTACAAACCCCACACGGCATCATCTACGGCTTCGGTTGCTTTTCGGGATTCGACCAGTAATCAAACAAGCGGAAGGCGATGACTTTCGCCAAATTTTCCTTGATTGTTTTATATCTGCCGAAGGTACAGAGGGCAAATCCATGATTATTCTAAAATATATTTAAATCGATCGAACAGCTATCGGCCGTCCGTCCGGGTGTGCTCTGCTCGGTCCTGCGGACATTAGTCTGTGTTTTCAGGCCGTTTTCAAGCGAATTTCAGGCCCCACGACCCAGCCTTTAGGCTCGAAACATCTCAAGTTATTGCGATTACTTCACAATCTTGAGAGAACAAGGAATAATTAGAATTCAAGAATTTCGTGAGATGAAATTTTTAAACGTAAGGAACGTTCCTATTAGAAGATTTTTAAAAGTTTATAACATTTTGGAATTTATTTAGGTATAAAATACGCTAAAACCACGGACTTATGTCGGTGGGAACGTAGATGGCGTTACCCCACAGTGAACCCCACACACCAGGAAATTAGTGGACTGGCACTACTTTCAGACGACACCTCGCCTCAAAATATAACCTCAACCTCCTTCACTTCAACCTTCAACATCATCTTCCTAACGCACTTCTTACAACTTTTTACATATCACAATGGCGTCCGACAAAGCAACCCAACTCCCATTTTCGGCCCCCACACTCTTCACCTCTGCAACAGACGCGCGCATCACCCGCCTCAGCCGCGTCCTCTCCACCTCCGGCGGCGTCGATGCAACACTCACGCTGGTAGGCTACGGCCTCTTCTTCGTCTCCTCGCAAATTACAGCCCTCGACAAGCTGCAAATGACATCCCTGCTCCACCCCGGCGGCTCCAAAAATGGTTCTACCAGTCTCGTCAAGCTTGAAGAGCTAGGCGCAAGCGCCAAGACACTGGCGGGGATGTGCTCTGATTTCCGGACCTTCACAAGACTTTGGGGATTTCTAGGGGTCTACGCGATGGCGAAGAAGAATTATGTTAAACCGGAGACAGATGTGGTGTTGAGGGCTGTCAGTTACGGACAGACGTTGTCGCTAGGCGCGTATTATGTTTATGAGAATGGGTATTATCTTGCTGGGAAGGGTGTCTTGAGGGGCTGGACACCGGAGAAGATTAAACGGTGGGCGAAGACGAGCCTGAGGATGTTTTTGGCGTATGTTTTGTTGGAGTTTGTGAGGTTGTACCGCGCGAGGCAGTTGAGGGAGCTGAGGAAGGTGAAGGCTGTTGATGAGAAGGATATGGTGGAGTTTAAGAGGGAGGAGAAGACGTGGCTGAGAGGGGCGATTATGAATACTGCCTATGCCCCGCTTGGTGTGCATTGGGCGAGTGAGAATCCAGCGTTGAGTGATGGTGTTGTTGGGGCGCTGATGTCGGTGGTGGGGTTGATTAAAATTAGAGCTGCTTGGGCGCTGGCTGCGTAGATGAGAACTCTGAGAACGGGAAACGAAGTTGCTGTAAGATTAAGAAGGTATGAACTTTACAGGTTTATATAGCTTTGTGCAATTTGGAATAGGCATCCTCTTCGTAAAATTATTCATTGAGTGATCTCGCCTAAACTCGGACTCCCCCCCACCTTCCCCCGCGCCATCGCTCTGTATTTTATTTATCTTCTATGAATAAACTCAATTTCAGCATTTATCATTACGATCTTCTACTCTCAATCAATTCAGCACAAGATCAAACGCAGCCACGTGACCAGCCACTGGGCTATACCCTCCAAGTGGGCAAGCCTTACTATTTATTTGGTCGTACAATAGGTTATAATAGTTAAATAATTATTATTTACGTAGTAGTTAAAAAATGATTTTAGGCGGTTAGGTAGTCTGGGCATTTAGGTAGTAAATGCTTCAATCTCCTTTCCTCCAAAACCTTCATACTCAACTATCTCTCGCTCCATTTTTTCCCTCCCCTTTAATACGGTTCTCTGGGTAGTAGGCTCCTCCCAGCTTCTTCTCCTTCCTCTCTTGAATTGATCGTTGTCGCCGTCGTCTTCTTTAGCAGATCAAGTCGATATACGGCGTCGCCAATTAACATCAAGCTCTTCCTCCTCCTCCTCCTCCACCACCTCCTCCAACAGCGATGGGCCATATATTGAGAGCCGCTTCGATATAGGGGAAGAGTAATCCTCCACCCTGTCAATTCTCTCGATCTTCCCCTTGGACAGCAGGACAAACATATCCTGCCCCGCCCGCACGTTCTCAGTCAAGCCACTCAACCTGTGTGTAATGGCAATGATGGTGTGTCCTTTTTCCGTGAACTCTTGATCTATGATACTACGCATGGCAGCTTCGGTTTCTGGGTCGAGTGATGAAGTAGCCTCATCGAGTAGAAGAATCGGCATAATCTTTGCACGATTCAGTTGAGCTTTCGCTAAGCTCGAAGCACCATTCAAAACCTGAAGTTGGAGAATGGCTCGAGCCAGTGTGATCATTTGCTCTTGGCCTACAGACATCTGCGGCAAAGAAGCGACCGAGCTGTTCAGGATCTGGCGGGTTTTCGAAGTCGAAGGTGCAGAAACTCCCGAATTGAAGTGTGACCATAGGCGTATTCTCTGAGGAGCTGCGATGATGGTCTCATCTGGGAGGGAAGCGGTGGGCTAGGCAGTGGCCAGGTCAGTACGTATATTTACACCCAAATGCCGACGAAAAATGCGAACAGTGTCTCCTTACATCAAGATTAAAGCGAAGACTGGCCTGAGCCAGCACGAATGGATCCTGGGCGACTGTTATGAAACATCTTTGTCGAATCAAAGATCGTGGGACAAGACTAAGATCGATCCCGTCTACTTTGATAACTCCCGATTTCACGTCTAAAAGACGCAGAAGTGTGAGTAGTAGAGTGCTCTTCCCGCTGTGAAGCCACCCAACCATGTTAGCAAAAGTCAAGGGGATTTAGAGTATACAAACTACCTACCTGCCTGTACGGCCACACACGATTGATTGTTGGCCAGCCGAGATTTTTAGGTTGACATTCTGTAAAGCTATTGCATCTGGACTGAGTAGAGAAGTCAGTTTTGGAAGTGATCCTGCCGTGATACATGGCCTTACTTGTATGCTACCGTAACATCATCGAACTCGACGACTCCGGATGATGGCCAAGCCTCGACAGGTGTGTAGCTTTCGCAAGGTTTGTCTTCTGTCGGTGTATTGGCCTCTAGATTCTTCAAACGAGATCTGAAGAGAAGGTCAGCATCTAGTCTCGCAAGCTGATGCTCCAAGCAAACTGGAAAAGGGGCAAAGGAGAAACAGAAGAGAGTATGAAGGTAGAGAAAAAAGGGATAAAGTACATAGCGCCCAAAGATATCTCCAGGTTTGTCCATGATGTTACCAGTCCGAGGAGGGTCGTGTTTGCAACCAAAACAATATTCAATGCCATGCCAATTTGTCCGGCGGTCGTCGTATCACTCATCAGAACAGCAAGAGTGATGAGACCTGTTGCTATAGCGGCAACCACTAGATCGAGAACAATACCCAGCCACTGTTGGAGGCAAAGCAGAATATATGACGGCTGCTGAGATATGTCCAGTGATTTAATATTTGCATCCTCGACTGCTTTCTCCCACCCGAAGGCCCGGATCGTCGTGATGCCTTCAACCTTTGCTGTGGTCAGCCACGACACAGCCAAATCTCTGGAAGGGCCATACTGATTCCAAAAAGCTTGAGTATACTGCCGACTGTGACTCGAGATCGAGTAATCGCAACTGCCGCGATGTTCGCAGGTATATCCTCTGCACAAAATATACAACCGCCACGCAGAGTGGAAATGTCAATGACAGTAGCTTCTGTGCACTGAACAGTAAGGCAGCTTGCACGAGCAGCTTAAAAATCTCTGTAATCATGAGTAAGAAGGCTTCGGCAAGCTCAAGCAAAACTTACGGTTCGAGATGGACAAAATGGCCGGTGGCAGTTGTCTGTCGACTAGTTGAATATCTTGGCTGAAACTACAGTAGATCAGCATGTGCCATGTATCACAAGTGGGTCACACTAACCGATTGAGTATCATTCCTGTGTCAGTGATCGAGAAATAGGACAGTGAGGCCCTATCATTCATCAGTACTATTCAGTGACGGACAAGTAGTGTATGCGCACCCCATAATAGTTGAAAGAAGGCGGCGGTGTAGTTCAGCTCCTGACTCAGGTGCAATAAGGATATACGTTGACCTTATCCCAGTTTAGCAGAGTCATACTTACTCAAGCGTCAGAGTTGCACTCACCACATAGAGCCGTTGGTGGAAGTCCATGCCATGAGAGATAAGATGAGATAGCCCCCGACGTAAAACATCATTTGGGACGCTAGCGCCTCAGTCCATTTTTGAAGCCAATACTGGGGAAATGTCACGAAGAATGAGTATGACGACGTGCAAGCGAGAAGGATAAGGAGGTTGCGCAAGCCCGCGGATTGAAGGTAATAGCCTGTCAGATAATCAAGGTTAGTAAAACATCCCATGAGTTTGCGTCACCGCGTTACCATAGAGTGAGATATCCCCCGTTGCCCGACTGAGATCGGAGACGGCCTCGGCCACGTCCAGTCTCTTACTCTGTACAGCCTCATTCACCGGATGCTTTTCTTCAGCACTGTTGTTATCGGTCTCAGCAACATGGACTTTCAGGATGTTCTCAGGTTTTTCTTTCAAGTCAGCCCATGTTCCTTGGTATTTGATTGAAGCATCTCCGAGTACAACAAGCCAGTCTGCCAAGGAGAAGTGCGTAGCTGTGAAGTATGAGCATTCGTATCACTTGTCGTAATGATACCTTGGACATACCAGAGTTGGTTATGAGAAAGACTGTTGTTCGCATTTGTCTAAAGAGACCCCCTGGACTGAGAAGGTTGTTGACGATACAACTTTCTGTTTTGCCATCAAGGGCGCTGAAACTATCATCCAAAAGCACGATCTCGCAACGGGCATATACGGCGCGGGCGAGAGCCTGTAGTCTTGTCAGTAAGCAAGCTCCAAATTCTCGGGTGGTGCGGAGAGGGATTGCCTGAACATACTACGCGTTGCCTTTGCCTACCAGAAAGGTTTAGCCCCCGACTTCCTATCATGGTGTGGTCTCCATTGGGCAGCGCTGAAAGGTCATCGTCGAGGCAGCATAGTCGGACAACTTGGTCGTACCAGCGTTGATCTTCCGGCGAGAAACCACAGATGGCCTCCTTGAGAGTTCCACTTGACAGCCAAGGTACCTGTTCACAGTAACCTATACGCTTCGAAGACACCGATATTGTTCCGCCAGCCGTAGGAATTTCACCCATGATTGCTCTCGCCAATGTTGTTTTGCCGCTCCCAACCGGTCCGGAGAAAATAACAATTGATCCCCTGTCAATAACAAGATTGATATCACTGAGAATAGGGGGCGTTGATGAAGTGTTCTGAATGGCCACATCCGCCATGCAAATGGCTGGCGAAATCCTTTTGGCATCGTTGTCCACCCTCTTCAATATCAGTCGTTGATCACATCGGGGCGGCTGTAGGAGATACTGCTGGATTCGGTCAAAAGCTGCCAGTGAGCCCATTGCTTGTGGTACAATCGACATGATCATGTTGGCAGGGTGCGTCACCAATCCGAGCAGTGCGGTAGTTGTGAATGCGGTCTCGGTGTTAAGTTTGACCCCGTCCCAATGTGCCAAAACGACGAAGAGCACAAATGTAATAATTGGAGAAAAGATGCCAAGAGCATTTGCTACAAGAGTAAGCCAACGCGTGAGGCGCAAGGATCGCACAGATAACATACCACTTGCATTATGTTGAACTAGCTAAAGCAATATAGCTAGGGTCACGTGCTTGCAATGTAAACCAAGTAAACGATACTGAATTAACTACTGTTCTATAGTGGTAAGTAGCCCGTATATATAGCCCTGAACCCCCTAAGTCACATGTACTAAATCCCTATGCCAGCTGAACCGATTACAGCTATACAGGGTATTCCAGCCGTACAGGGTATTCCAGCTATACAGGGTATTCCAGCTGGACAGGGTATTAAGCTAGTGCACAGCCCCATGGCGTTCGGTTCCAGGGCTTACTAAGCCTATTAGGGGCCTCAGGCCCCTAATTTCAACACATTATAAGCGACCATCATCCACCGCACCTTCCTGGCCATATCCAGCTCTTGAAGCCTCAGAGAATGAACCAAAGATTCCGTATATATTGTTACCCCTAACATCTTCAAGCTTTTCATTGAGGCAAGCATTGATGTGTTCATAGCAAGGCGTTTTTGCGTAGCCACGTTCCAGTTTCTTTGCTTATTCTGTAAGTTCCTCGCCAGGTACTGACTCATTCGTGAGCAGACTTTGATGGTTATCAGTAATTTGTTGAACGAACGGCGGATGACAACTCACAGAAGATGATCACAAGCGGAACCGGACAAATCCAACCGACCTCCCTAGCCAACATCAGTGTGCCCAATACGACCTCGATGACCTGCGCCCATGTTTCATGGAACATCTGCGCACTGTTGCCCACGCTCTCTGCATCGGTGCTTATGAGAGTCACGGCTCTTCCATCGTCGTAGCTGCCAGACTGCTGGCCCAAAGACTTGCAGTTGATAAGACCGACAACCGCGCCCCTGATCATGACTTTGAGCCGGTTCAGGCGGTGCTGATACAAGGCCTTGGAGGTCTGGTGTACCACTTAGTTCCCAAACGCACACAAGTCTGGAGAACTTACCGCTAAGCCAACATAGACAACAATGGCCATCAGGATCACCTTGTAGCCCAAATCCCAATCTCAATCTGATGACTTGCTCATGTGGCAAATGGCTGTGCTAATAAGCACCGGCTGAGCATAGCGAAAAGCAATGAGAAATAGCCGTGGCAAAATTGGTGCGAGAAAATGCGAGAGCATGCTTTTGACCAAGGCTTCTGGCAATGTTATCTTCCTCTCCGGCTTAGCTGAACAAGAGTCTGTCAGTGGTGGCATGGTACCCAGAAGAATGACGGGGATTACCTCTCTGATCCCAAGCTTTCAGCGCCCGATGCCGCAGCAGCTTTGAAGAAAGCTTGTGGTCAATCGGTGGAAGGCTGCCTCCAGTGAGGATATCTCGGCTTCCTTTAGCCAGAATCGAATTGATCCACCAAAAGAAAGTCCTGCTCAAGACTCCAGCCAGCTGTTCTGGGGGCCATTGGCCATATTGACGTCGCAATATCCCCCCCTTTTCTCGGCTTTCGACCACCAGAATCAGAAATTTGATGCAAAGTTTGGCTATCACGCCTAAGGCAGCCGGGAAGGTCACATCTTGATACGCGGTTGTTCCCAGCTCAGCAGCGTCGCACGCCAGAGATGTGAGCAGGTAGACGACTGCAAGATCTGATGGTTTGATAGACCGTGTGTGCTCCAGGAACAGCAATGGGCATAGACCTATATAAGATATGAAGGAGGTGAGGACAGATAAAAAATCAATGTCAACTTGGGAGGTGGGCAATAGTGCTGTGATCAACACGATCGATTGTACCACTAGCAGTGCAAAGGCAATCGCCTATGCCAAGGTCAGTTTTCAAGTAAACAATACTGCCTTTTATGCACTACGTACTATTTTGATATCGCGGCGGTACTCTGGAACGACCTTGACTGTTTCTGTGTGTAGCTTTGATAAACGAAACGGGAGCAGCAACAGAAATAAGGCGGAGACTGCAGTGGAAAGGAGTTGAAGCTTGAGGTACATGATGAGCTTAGTATGAAGCCACGCCGATGTTTTGATGAGAAGTGAACGACCTCATGAGTTAATTGGTTTCGTGCTTTTATCTACTTGGTTGAAATAACACGTACAGACCGAGACCAAAAGACACTGGAATTTTGTCGTCAGCAAGCTCTACTACTCAAGGAAGGATAATAAGACGTGATTAGGGGATGTGGGGCGCGCAACCTGTAGCATACCAGATTTGGCCAATCGTCGCTTCACATAGGGGGGCACGTTTCTTACTTCAAGGAAACATACAACTTCGTCCGAAGAACATGGGCCTCAATGACAGCAGGGGCTACGCACCAATGAACATCTAACCGATACCTCACGAGGATACACGGCACCCCATTCTACGTTTCAGGGGTATTCTTCGGTGGCGGCCTGAATTGACAGGGATCCACATCTGCCGCGTGCAACACAATCACTCATTCTCTCGACCCTGTTGGAAATAGGTGCATAAGGCTGGCGATAGCAATTTAGCTGTTCAGCTAAACAGAGGGTTTAAGGGGTTTCAGTGGCAATAGTGGCGATTTGGGTGTCTATAAGTATAGGCTTTAGATCACTGTAAAATAGAAAGCCGTCCGAGAACCATTGCCCCTGACCTTTTGCTCTGCATTCTCGGCAGACCCTTCCTGTTGTTGTCGCAACGTGACCCGACAGCCTGGTGTTAGGTACGATCAATCTAAATAAGAGCTGCGCCGCCTATGCGAGCGCTCAGGGAAGTTGACAATGCATGATGACTACCAGGGGGCCGAGACAAGAAAGTCTGCATGCATCGATGACTTACACAAGACCGAGGTAAGCCTCGGAAAGCAAGGATTTTTACATAACTTCAGGAAACATAGTGGGACAGGATAGTGGGGACTAACTTGCGTGATTCGGACGCTCCGCCGTAACAAGACTCTAGAGTATACCTTTCTCTTGGGATAAATAATTACACCCTTGAGGGTCTATCGCAACGTCGCTTACCATATAAAAATCCTTGTGTGTGTAGAACCGCAGGGGCGGACTTATTTAGCCAAGGAGAGAGGCATACTTCGGAACTCCCAGCTAATATGTGCTCTGCGATCCGGCGTTTTGGATCATAGCTATGCAGAAACGCGGCGCCTTGATGAAATGGGTTGCTTGGTAAATACGGAAATGAACGAGTCACAAGATCAAAGTGAGAAGCGAAAACGTCAAAATCGCACCGCCCAAAGACGTTTTAGTGAGCAAAAGTAACTACCGACGTTCATAATCTTTCTGCTGATTTGTTACTACAGGAAGCAGAAAAAAAGTATACGACACAGCTTTCTTAGACTCCTACCAGACGGGGAACAACACCGAATATGCCTCTAGCGGGCTAGCTATGGTTTCAACAACTAGCCGGAATCTATTAGGCGCATCGCCAGCTGTCTCGCCAATAGACTATCAAAGCTTTCGTGGTGGAATAGACTTCAGCTCCTTGTCCTCGGGCGACAGGAGCGACAGTTCTGACGGTCTTGGCATGTCTAGAGCTTCCAGCTTTGCCACGACTCAGCCCCGATCCCTTTCCATGCTGTCACCCCTCAGCGAGGACATTCCTCCTGCAAATAGGGAGAATAGCCATCATCCTTCTAGTCGCCAACCCATTCCGATTGACTTGAAACCTACAACCTTTCCGAGCCATGCTGCGTATTTCTTCCCTTCTAACGAGGGTCTCATGTCACCTATTAGTACGCTTCCAATGACAGAAAGCTCAGACAACGCATACTCGGGAGGCGAGACTGCAAGGGACCTATGTATGGCTTGGTCACCGGCGAACCATTCTGCTTCTAGAAATGCCAACCAAATCAACCGGAACAATTCCGACCATAAGCGCAAAGTTATTTCAAGTTCTGTGAGTCAGTCAATCGCCAACAGTTCGACAGTTTCTAACTCCTTATTCGCGTACAGAACGCGCACCAATCTTATACATCCCCAAAGCAGAGCCTCTCCGGGACTGATAAAAACGGAAACAATCTGAGATGCTGCGTGGCACACAAGGCTGAGATGATGATCTCAGATGTGCAGAAATTGTGCAAGTTTGGAGTACGTTTCGGGCTTCTTGTGGTGGAGGACAAGGAGGTGGATGACTGTCTAAGGTTACTGAAAACTAAGTTCCAGGAGATGGCAAACTGCCCCACAAGGGATGGGTTTGATTCGAACTCAAGTGATAGCGATGCAGATTAGGAAAACCCCTGAAGAACCAGGCAGATTAGAAAGAGCAGAGCATTACTCGATGGCACAGGCCCATGTGGGAATTTTGGTCTACACGATGCTACTGCCAACTGGTTTCCTAAATACTGAGCACATGAATCTGAAAATACTGTCTGTCTGTCATGCCTGAAAGCTGTGAAAGAAAGATTGCACTTGAACACTCGCAAAACGGGCTTCTGACACGCTTGCCCAGCCACACATCCTTATTGAAGATATTATAGCCCTAGGACTACATCGCAGCCCAAGGAAGGATGTCGCACAGAGGTAGTGTCGCAAACAATGATATTGGAAAGGGCAGGAACTACATGTCGCTTTGCCACTGCCCTGTATAGGCAAAGAATAAATCCACGACGCGGTGATATTTCGCACTCTAATCGGCCCTTTTCTACCACGACATTGCATTTTAAGAGTTGTTGACTTCCCAGTGTAGCACACCGTTCAGCTCAAGCCACAATGACGTGGTATAACCCTTAGACTTCTGGATTGAACAGACTTGAGGGGAATACAGGTATACCCGTGAATAGTCAAGTAAGTAGTTACTAGGTACCAACTAATTGAGAGCGCACGAGTACAAGTATATTCGTTTAATACCCGGTATTTTAAAGGTTTTAAAAATATATTATATAATAAAAAAGGAAACAAAAACCACGTAACTCAATTATTACTTTTAATTATTACAGTTATTTTAAGGCCTTAATATCGTTATATATTAAAAGAATTAAAAGATATTAATTATTATTTAATTATTATTATTTATATTAATTAATTAATTTTTTATAATTTATTTATTTATAATATTAAAGATATATTTAAAAAAGATATAATAGTAATAAGTAATATTATAAGAAATATACTATTACTTAACTAGTTCTATTTACTAAGCTAATATTTCTTTTTTTAATACTTTCTCTTACTTCTTTCTTTAGCTTTATATTTTATAAAATAAGAAATAAAAATCTCTATACTTTATTTTAATTATTTTAGTTTTGCTATTAAAAGAAATTAATATTAAAAAAGAATATATAAGAATAAATTAAATAAGTATAATTACGAATTAAACAAATATTATATAAATGAAATATATATTAAATTATTTAAAAGTTTTTTTTATAAAAAGAAAAAGAACTAAATATAAAATAAAGAAAACAATTAAGAAATTATATAAAAGCTTATAATTAAATAAATATTAATATAATTTTTATTATAATATAATTATATATTATTAAAATATAATAAAAAACTATAAACTTTATAAGTTTAATTATTAATAATATTATAAATATAAAATATATATTTTAAAAAGCTTATTTAAATAAATATAATCTTAAAAACTAAGTCTTTAAGTTATATAAAATTAAGATATAAATAATACTTAAAAAAACATATATTTTATAAAATTATTTAAAAAGAATTATTAGTTTTTTTTAATTATTTTATTTTAAAAACCTCTAATTATATTATATATATATATATATATATTAATTATAATATTCGAACTTTATAAGCCTTATTAATCTTTAATTATATTTATTATATAATAATTAATATAATTTTTTAATAACTTAGTATTATATCTTAATAAATCTTATAAATATTAGTTTTAAAGAATAAGTAATTAATAATCTTTAGTTTAAATAAAGCAAGTTTAAGCTAAATATAACAAATTTTTGTAACTTCTTTAAAGCAAATATGAAATAAAGAATAAAAAGAAATAAGAGCTAATAAATATATTATTAGTAATAAATTAGAGGCTATAATAACTATCGGTTTACTAGGAATGCATGGCACCGTTATATAGGCGTGGAAGTACTATTTATATAAGGTTAGTAAAGTTGTTATTATTTAGAAGTAGGGATTATAGTATTGTAATATTAATATGCGATCCCTAAATCTGCTAAGCCTAAAGGGGTCTAGTCTACTAGTCGAGTTACTAATAGAATGCGAGGTCATATGACTATATCCCGTATCCCATGTTCCATTGCCTATATTTCATTACCCATGTCCCGTATCCCGTATCCCGTGACTATATATGTGACTCCCAAAGGAATAGCTATACTAATACTAGAAACTCTCTAAAAACGCGAAAAATAGTATCTCCCTCCGATTATATACAAATTCCCTAATCCGGCCTAGTACCAGATTTCCCAAATACTCTATATATCCATATCGCTTCCGAGGTTTTAATTATATACCAAAGGCCGTAGCCTTTTATACGTAACTTCCTCTTCTATAATATCCTCCTATCCCATATATTTATTTCTTGCCCTATCTATACTTGACCTATTTCTCTACGTCTAATTATATGGTATTCGTATTAATTAGGTACTTGAGGGCGTTTATTAGCTTTAATTTCGTTATGGAATCGGCAGGATTTAATTTTTCCTTAATCTATTTGACTTCTATAATCTCTCGTTATTTATATGCCTGGCAGAGGTATATTATATTAATTATTAGATGCTTTTCTCGAGTAGTTCCTAATTTGACGAGGTATTCGTATAACGACTTCGAATCCGTACAGACTACTAGTAATAGTTCTATTTCTAGTATTTTATTAATTATAGATTTAACTAAAGTGCCTATATTAAAGCCATAAGCCATACTATAGAGTTCCAAAGCTAGAATGCTTCTGGTAATTCTCTTGCATTTAGTAAAGAACTAGTAAATAATATTAGTATATCTAGTTCCGTTTACTAGAACTAGAATATATCTAATTTGGGAGGAGAAATCTCTATTATTTGTAAATAAAGTATCTATAAAAACGATTAAATATAAGAACTCCTTTACTAGCTTTACGAATCTTAGTCCTCTGGTAGCGTTCTTAATTTGCTATTAAATGCGCTTATTAAGTGCCTTTATATTAGTTTCCGAGAGTTTAATAGCTTGAGCAGTAATTAATAGGTTATATAAAGCTTCTGGTTAATAGACTAATATAATATATACTTCTCTAGTATATTAGATAATATATTAGTTCTTAATAGAAAGATCTTAATAAATAGTACTCTTATTACTTATAGTAATAGTATTCTTTATAGAAATAATTCGGAGGTTTTTATACTAGTATTCCTATATAAGAGTAATTCTAGTAATATTTATATAAATAATACCTCTATTAAACTTGAGATTATAGTTAATAGTAAGGTATTTATATTCCTTGGCCAAAAACTTAGCTTTTTAGAGCTTTAGTTACTTTGTCTTTACAAAATCGTTATTTCCGATAAATAGGGTATTATTAGTTTAAAGGCTAATAATTCCGAAGAGTTACTTACTATAGAGGAAGCAAGGGTTATAAGTTAACTATTTTATAGAAAGCTTATTAATATAATAGGAATAGTAAGTTTTAAACTAGTAGTTCCCAGCTTCCGGTATATTATATAGTAATTTCACGACCTTTAGAACCGAATTATTATTCAGATTTAGCTCTCTAGTAAGCTTATAAGATAGGTTAATATAAAAATTACGGTTAAGTAAGGTTATTAATTAGATATAAGCTTGCGAGATATTATATAAATATAGCTCCGTAGTATTTATTATTATAATAGTAATACTAAGAATAATTCTCTGGCTAATATATTAAATAATAAGTAATTATATTAATACTATATATTTTTTACTATTATTATAAGCCTAGATAACTAGTCTCGACTTCTTAAACTCTCTTTCCGTATTCTTATTCTTAATCTTATTAATAAACCGGAAGTTAAAGATATATATCTCCTTTAGTACCTAAGATCTGGAAGTAATCTTAAATATGCCCTTTTCTAGAAGGCTAGTAACTTTAACTTAACGGGAGTTCTTATATAGGTTATTATTTTATAGGAATACCGTAAAATCCGGGTTCTTATAAGGATATCCTCTATTATACTTTAGTAAAATAGCGGGAATAGCAGGAGGAATTATACCTGTATTGCCTTTAGCCTTACTATAGAGTTCGGGAATAGGTTCAGGTTCGGGGCCATTAGTAATAACCTTAATATTCCCTATATAAAAGAGCTTTATAGAGATTAAGCAGAAAGTAGTATTACCGTATAGTAAAGCTAGTATATAGTTCTCTCTATTAACGGCTACTAGCTTATATGGCCCATCCTAACTACTAGATTAACTAGTATTTCCTTTATACTATACGAGAATATCCGAATTTAAGAGAAGTTTATAGATATTAGTAGTACTAGAACTATTTCAGGTATTTAGGGTATTTGTAATCTGGTATCTAGCTTAAAGCTTCTGAATTTCTACTATTACTTTCTTAAATACTACTAATTACTATAATATAGTTAGTAATAGGGTATTATATTCGGTTATTCGGGATAAAGTACTATAAACTAAGAGGATTAGGATAATACTATTAGGTCTAGCGAAATTATTAATAGCCTTAAAAGCTATTTAGAGTATAGTATCCTTATTAATTCCATTAATTTTGGCTATAATAATAAGGTAAGTATATTAAATTAGGCTATAATAATATTCTATAATTCCGACGGAACTATAAGCTTCTATAGGAATAATTTTGACCTTGGTTCCTATAGTATTCGCAAGCTAAGCAAACTCCTTACTAGTAAACTACTTTCTGGTATCTGCTATAATCTAATCGGGAGGGCCTAAATAGGTATTAATTCAATACTACTTTAGGGTATCCCAAGTATATAATATACTAATATTTTAAAGCTATTAGCCGGCTTAATATCTAGTATCTTTATTAATAATATAAAATATAGGCTTACCAGAAATATAGAAAATATTAATAATAATAGAATAGTTAAAGCTAATATTATCTCTTAGGTTAAACTTAAATTATTCCGGTAATTATCCAAATTTCTGGTATTACTTATAGTATTTTATAAGATACTTAAGGGCTTCTATATTAATATTATAGCCTGCTTATTCTAGTATATTTTAAAGCTTACTAATAGATAAATAACTAAAATGGCAATATAGATATTATAATTCGACCTCTATAAAAAAGCAGGAATTACAAG